GGGAGGGGCTGGTGTTGCTAAAATTAGGAGAAATTCAAAGAAGGACTCCCGTGGCTTCCTGGGAAAGGGAGAAGCTGCTGTGAGGTCAGAACCGGCTTTGTGTGGGCCCTGCTCTCTGCTGCCTCTTCCCCATGGTCCTGTGAGAGACTTCTGGGTGACACCCCTGGCCCCATCCGGAGAGGGCCAGTCACAGCGCAGCACCCTAACCCCGCCCTTGCAGCACCCTAACTCCGCCCTTGACCTTCCGGGCCGGGTCCCTGATCAGAAAGTGGGGGGAGGGACACTGGAGATTTTGGGGAGTTTCCCTCCCAGGGTAGTGGCAGAAAACAGATGTTGGGGTGTCTGCCAGTACCCCCAGGAGGAGGGCTGAGAGGACCCAACAGGCTGAGCATCCCACCAACACAGCATGGGGGAGATGCTAGAGACACACAAACCCCAAATCCCTGGTTTTTGTCCTCGGGGAGCCCAGGAGCACAGAGCTGGGTAGAGAGTGAGGAGCTGGGGCCTGCAGCTCTGGGAGCCCCCACCGCCCCGGGAACCCGAGCCCAGGAATCCCATCCTCTTAGCCTGTAGTCTGCAGCGGGTGTGTTTTGGTCAGTGACTTGCGCTCCGGGCCTCAGTTTCCTCACCTGTGTCCGGGCGTTGTGACAGGTGAGATCATGAAGACCCAGGCTCCAAGGCCTGCCGCCCGGTGCTGTGCGTGGAGCGAGCCCAGACGCTGAGAAGGTGCAGCTCCTCCTCCGGCCGTCGGTGGAGGAGGGAGACCCTGGGTCTGGCGGCCTTCCTGTGACCAACAACCTCGGAACATCTGAGGGCGGATTACTGAGGGAGCCAGCTGGTTTCTTACCCAGGCCCAGGCGCTAAGCGGTGGTGTCCTGGGCTGCTCTCTTGTCCTCACTTGAATCTGACACCCTGGCCTCTGGTTGGAATTAACCCTTTGCGGCAGACACTCCTCCAGGCATCCCTGCCCGGCATCCAGGAAGCTTTCTTTGGTTTTGATAAAAATCATCAGGGTTTGTCCTTATATTTTGTTTGTGTTGGTTCAGGGTGAGAAGGGTCCGTTCAAGCTGCCGCGCAACTGGGAACTGGGCTGTCGGGGGCTCTGTGGGTCCACCGGGCGCAGCTCAAAGCTGGGGTGGGGGTGAGCTGGAACCTTCCCGACACCTGTGTTCTCTCCCTGCAGATGTGCACTCCGAGCAACACACCTGCCACACCGCCCAACTTCCCCGACGCACTGGCCATGTTCTCCAAGCTTCGTGCCTCCGACGGCTTGCAGAGCAGCAACAGCCCTATGACGGCCGTGGCCTGCTCCCCCCCGGCAAACTTTAGCTCCTTCTGGGCCTCGTCCCCACCCAGCCACCAGGCCGCCTGGATCCCGCCCTCCTCCCCCACGGCCCACAGTTTCCACCACCTCCACCACCCGCAGCCCACGTGGCCCCCCGGGGCGCAGCAGGGGGGCTCGCAGCAGAAGGCCGTGGCTGCCATGGATGGCCAGAGATGAGACTGGGTGCTGCCAGGCGCTGGGCTGGAGCTGGCAGGCAGTCCAGGGCCGTGGGGACACAGGAGGGCCGGGGAGGGGGGAGCTGGGGCGGGCGGGGGTTTCCTGAAGATCGCACTGGAAGATTTTATAAAAGAATTTTTGTGGGTGGGGGGGGATAGTAAACTTCCTGAGCCACTTGGGCCCTTCAGGAGTTTCTCTTCAGACAAGTTTTTCTCTTTTTAATATATAACTATAATATATATGAATATATAAATATAACTAATGTATGTGAGAATGGGGTTGGCTGGCTGAGGCTTTGGGGTTGGCCAGGAAAGGCCAGAGCATCCCCTTGGGCCAGCACTCCTTCCACCCCTCATCCCAGGGCAGGTGCTTGGAAGCCAGGTGGGGGTGATCCTGTAGTCACGAGGTGTCTGCTGGCTGCCTCTCAGAGGTCACGCCTTCTGGAATCAGGAGGCCCCCCCAGGGTCCCCTCCAACGCGGCTGAAGGCGTGGAGGCCTGGCCATCACGAGCTCTCCCCACCCGGACTCCTCAGCGGCCCTGCAGCTCTTGTCTGTCCCGGTGCCTCCTGTCACCAGCCGGATGAGCGGGGCTGGTGCAGAACTAAAAGAGCCTGCTTGGGTCAAAGGCTCCGGCTCTGCCTGGCGGGGGTTCTGATTCTCCGCCGCCACCCTGCCTCTCCCACTGCGTCCCGCCCGCATGGATGACCAGAGTGGAGAGCTTGCCTTTGGATTGAGTTCCCAAATCAATCATCTCACCAGGGTGAAATTTTAATTTAAAAACTTAAAGAGACTTTTCTAACTACCCTAAGTTTGTGGTGCCTTTATTTGCCTTGAGAGGAAAAGCGCTCTCCCGGGGAACAGAGTTGGTTGGGGCTCCCGCAGTGTTGGGATTATGGGGCGGGGGGATGGGCTTCCTTGCCACTGGCTGGTCTGGATATTATGACGGGGTGTCCAGACCGGGGGGTTGATGGGACAGGCTGGGTCCAGCTGAGTATGGGCAGGAGAGGGGGATTCTGGGCCTGATCTCTCTGATCCTCTCCCCATCTTGACCCTTGCTGTGCGGCCTGCCTCGGGCTGGCGCTTACCCCTTACCCCGGTGCTTACCCCCTCCCTAGCCTTTGTCTTGTCTGCTGTGGGGGGGAGCACTCCTTCATCTGGTGGCCCATGGCACCCCCTCCCCAAGCTGCCCCGCCTCCGACATCTTACAGCTGGCTCCATCCCTTCTGTTCCTGTCCTCTCTGGGGTAGCCTGTCCCTGAATGCATATTGAGTGGCTGTGCCCATGAGGTCAGCCAAGGCTGTCCAGGATCCACAGAGACAGGGTGGGTCCCCAGAGGGACTGGCTGCCTTTCCCTTCCCACCTTCCCCACAGCCGCCAGCCATTAGAACGGAGGCAGTGTTGGCAATTCCTGGCCCAATGGGGCCCTTTCTCAGGTGATCCTGCAGTGCCGTGAGGAGGTGAGGCAGGAGGAGCCTGTGTGCTGGCTGGAGGGGGTGGTGGCTGGCCTCCGGGTTGGGATTCCTACAGCCTCCTGCTGGGGAGGAGGGATGCTACCTTGCAGCCCCCCTGCCCCCCAAGACCTCTTCAACATGTGGGCGGGGCTTTTTTCCCTCAGCAGCCAGAGCACCATAAGGGACCCTACTCTGGGTTGGGCCTGGAGGTTCATACCCAGAAGGCTTGCTTCCCCGGTGCCCCCCAGCTGCCCTCAGCCCCTCTGCATGTGATGGCTTACTTTGAGCCTGGGTTAGTCCTTTCAGTTTTGTTTCCTGGTTGGAAACCCCTGGGGCACCTCCTGGCCTCCCCGCTCCGCCAGCCCACCTGTGTTTTCCCGGGCTGCGAGGGGAAGTCCCTGGAGGGGACGTGGGCGGCCACACTGGGACCACAACCTGGTGAGGGGTTGGGGGGCCTGGCCCAGGTGCAGGGATGGGGGTTGGCCTGGGCCGCTTGGGGAATGTCCTCCACAGGGCGTGGAGGGCTGGGCTGTCCTGCTCCTGCTCCTCCCTGCGAGCTGGTGAGTTTGGATTCGAGGCCAGGGACACGGAGGAGCCAGCAACCTGCTGACATTTCTCAGGCTGGGTGAGACAAGGGAGCCCGAGCAGGAGCAGCGGGCTGGACCTGGCTCTGGCCCCTGCTCGAGGAGCACAGGGCACGGGGTGTGAGGGGTGCCTGCCGGGCCCCCGGGGTTCCAGCTGCTCCCTCCTCTTGTCCAGCCAGAGCACTGGGTCATTGCCTGAACATGGAGGGATCTCAGCCTGTGGGGAAAGTAGGGGGAAGCCCCCCCGCCGGGGAGCACCTGCCCTACCCCATGACACCCCCAGCCAACCCCACCCTCCTTTGCCCACATGGGACCGGGGAGAAACCCTTTCTGGGCAGTTTCCTGCCACACTTTCCTTTCCTGTGTGATTTGTCACCCCGTTCCCTCACACCTTAAAGCAGGCCTCTTGTGTCAGACACCCCTTTACCAAGTCAGGGACATGGGGGCTGGGGGTGTGGCCCCCGTGAGAACAGACCTGAAGACAGGAAAGCTGCTTCTAGGGCACCAGAGGCCTCAGGGGGAAGGCTTTTCTCCCCTGTCCCTGGGGGTCCGGCTGGGCGCAGGGGCTGGACCCTTACAGTTTCCATACCTGCTGAGCCCAGCCCCCCGGCCTCGCTCTGTCCCTCAAACCTGCCAAGACGTTTCGCACAAGGAACTTTGGATAGCAGGCAGCCCTCTTGCCTGTTTGGTGCTAGTGGACTGAGGGGGCTGGAGCAGGACAGAGGCTGGGCCTCGAGGCCACTGGGCAAGTGGCAGTCACCTGGCTAACCCCCCAACACACACTTCTGCTCTACCTTCCTGGGGAGCGAGGAGCGGAGCCGGAACCGGCCTAGGCCTGGCAGCCCCTGGTCAGCCCATCTGCCTCTGCAGCAGCCACTCAAGGGTTAGCTGCAAACAGAAACCTTCCCAGGTGGCCGGTGGCACTGGTCCCCTAGGACGTCGTGCCAGGAGCTGGGCACTGCCCGAGCCAGAAGCAGCCGAGCAGCAGGCGGCTGCCAGCCTCACCTTTGCCTCACGGGAGGGCTCAAGGCTGGACTCCATGAACCCCATTGTGTCCGGAACGTCCCAGTTGGCCAGGCCACCCTTTAGGCCGGCCCCCCAGATGGGAGGGCAGGGCCCCAGTCAGGGGGACAGCAGGAGAGAGCTGGCAGGTGTGAGAGCAGGTCCTGCCCCCCCAACCCCCGCCAGCTCCCAGATCTGGGGCCTGGCCTCTGCTGCTTCTCCCGAAGCCCCAGCGCCCTTGGAGGACGTCTTCGTCTGTTTTGGGGGGGCGGGGTCATGGTCTAACCCTCAGGCTACAAGTCCCACCTGTTCTCCAAGAGAAGGTCGGCCACCTGGACCTGGGGGTGACCTGGCGGTGCCCGGCCGCGGAGCCCCCTCCCCTTCCGCTCCATCTCCCCCAGCCAAGACCAGACAACACTCGCCGCCTCAAGCTTCTTCCTAAACATTTATTAGTAACTGGGCTCAGTGAGCAGTGGACCGCGGCCCCCGGGTGGGCTCCTCGAGCCCCTCCCCAGGAGGCACATCCCTGTGCGTCTCCGGCCCCGCGGGCAGGTTGGCCATCTCGCTGGGGCTGGGCGGGTGGGCCACACTGGGCTGAGAGAGGTGCCCCTCGGAGGACACGGGCCTGTCTTTCTGCGGCTGAGAAGGAGCTGTGAGAGGGGCCGTGGGGGGCTCAGGTGGCTCTGCCCCAGCCCCCACGCCCACCGCAGCCTGCCGGGTCCTCCCCAGCTGCCCAAAGCCCAGGGGAGCGGGGGCCCCCCGGGGCTCTGGTGGGCAGTGCAAGCCCTCACGCGAGCTCCCAAGCAGAGCTCCTTTCCAAGGCCTGGGAGTTAAAAACAATCAAGCCCCGTGTCAGTGGCCAAGAGCCTGCCTCTCTAGTAAGGTTTCCTCTCATAGTATAGGGACTGCTGAGGCAGCGTGCCCACCCACAGGTGCAGGCATTTTCCTGAGACTGCCCTCTCTCCCTCTCCTGCTCCACCTGACAGTAGATAGTGGAGTGCCAGAGGGCAGGAAGGTGAGGGACCCCCAAGAAAACAGTCACAGCCCCCACTGGATCGTCCATCCCAGCCTGCTACGCGCTGTTGCCAGCACAGGTTCTGGGGGCAGACAACTTAGGGCGGAACTCCACTGCTGCTGGCTTCCCAGCTGTGTGACCTTGGGCAAATACCTTAACTTCTCTGTGCCTCAGTTTTCTCAGCTGTAAGTGAGGCTCACAGTGGTCCCTACCTCGTAATGTTGGTATAAGGATTAAAATCGATTCATCTGTGTAAAGCTCCTGGCTGCTGTAAAGCTCCTGGCCGCCTCATTTAAGGCGAGGTGCCCTGACCAGCACCATCACTTTGCTGCTTCCGCTTCCTCAGGGCACTCACTGAGTGCTGGAGATGGAGTGGGTGGGGAGGGCATCGGGGACAGGGCAGGGGGTGGCCCCCCTAGAGAGTGGGGAGACTTGCTCAGTCACTTGAAGCTGATCGGGTCTCCTGGCTCCAGGCCAATATCCCTCTCTGCCCTCCAGGTGTGGCTGGACCCCTGGGGACCCTTAGCCCCCAGACTTTCAACAGGATTCAGCCCCTCAGGGGAGAACAGGGCCTCGAGGGACCACCAGGCACCCTGCCCCTAGTCCCTCTCCTGGGAGATGGACCCAGTGACGGCATCGAACCCCCAGGCCTGGCGCAGATCAAGAAGTCAGCAAAGATGCGTATTTTCTCTCTTCTCCCTCCCATCTTGTCTCTCAGCTCCCTGGCGCTTCCTCTCTCCAGGGAAATAAGGGCACCGACCAGCCATGGGCAGGAAAGGGGGCTGGTGGGGCAAGGGGCAGAGGCCTGGGGCAGTGGTGAGGCCTCCCGGGAGGCTGCTCCAGCCAAAAGGAAGCTACCTGAACTGCTGCCGGCCAGCATCTGAGCGCTCTGAGGCTGGGAGGGCAGCTGGCCGTTGTCGCTGAGGGACTGTTGCCGGTGCACGTGGGGCCGGGACTGCTTGGCCTTGTGCTTTGGCATCCCCGAGACAGAGGCTGGCAGGGGACAGTGAAGCAGAGGGTCAGGCCCGAGACCCCGAATGGGAGCTCTGGGGGGCCCCATGGGGATGGGGAGAGGGCTGCAGGGCAGTTGGCCACAGCCAGCCTCAGCTGCGGTCCTTCCCAGTCTGAACTACTGGATACGCCTCTCCTAAGCACCCCATTCATTCTCATGTCCGTCCATCCATCTGCCCTCCCACCCACTCAGATATCCCCTGAGGACCTACACACATCAGCCCTGGGCCTGGTGCTGCACCGGTTGTGACGTGGGCTCCTGGTTCAGGAGGGGAGGCGACTAGACAGGTGCACATGGCTCTAAGACGAGGCAGGAAGGGACAAACAGGGCACCGCAGGTCTGGCTAACTGGGGGTGGCCTCAGGGGGCTGGCAAATTCACCCAGTGGCAGGGGGCTCAGGAGGGGCATTTTGAGTTTTGAAGGAGTAGGACTCGGCCCTGGTGGAGGGAACACAGGCTGAGGCAGGCAAGCCAGTGAGGCCGCATGAGAAGGAAGGTGGCGAGAAGGATGTGGCCGTGACATCCCCGCTCATCCACTGAGGCTGGACGGCTGTCCCCAACCTGCAAACACTGACCTGGGGCGTTCAAAGCCCTGAATGTTTGGAATCAGGGAGGTAGTGGGGGAAGAAGGCACCCAGGGCCCAGGAGCCCCATGGCCTTCTAGGAGCTGAACAGACCGCCAGGGACTCCTGAGCAAGACGCCGGAAGAGTCTCTGGGAAGCGTCTCTGGGCCACCCGGACACTCACCCTCTTTGCTCAGGATGCCCGGCAACCTTGTATCCATCCGTCCCTTGTAAATATGTCCATCCAGACCCAAGATATCCACTTCGTCATGCTGTGGAGGTGGGGGCACATCTGTTACTTTGTGGCGCCCAGAGCTTGTCCTCCCGTCCTTCCTCCACGAGGGCTGGGGGGGGGGGCGAGTCATGGTCTCTCTTGACTCCCAAAACCAAATGGTGCTCAGAACCCTCCCCCAGGCTCCGGCAGCGCCAGGGTTGGAGGGAGGGCCCGTGGTGGGGGTGCTGTGCTAGATGGGCAGGTGGCCAGGATGGCGTTCTTCCCAACAAAGCATAAGAACCAGAGGCTTTAACTGCAACTGTTTCAGCAGAGGGCTGGTCACCCGCCCTTCTGGTGACTTGCATGGTTTTTCCAGAATGACTCAAGAATGTGGGGTCTTGTCAGGGCCCTCTCTCTTCACTGCAGGCAGCACCCCCCACCTTCATGGCGATCTGGACCTCCTCGGTGGGGTACAGGCCCTGGGACAGGTGCTGCAGGCGGTTGCGGCGGTAGGGGTAGGTGAGCGTGTGGCTGCCCCCGCAGCGCCGAGGCACGCTCGAGTACGTGTAGTCAGCCGTTTCTGGCACCCTGAGGGGAGGATGTGGTTCAGAGAGGATGGCTGGGGTGACCTGGGACACACCTGCGGTGGGGGCCGGCCAGCCAGGGATGGGGCAGCTGTCTCGGGGGGTCTCTGTGAGCCGGGGCCAGAGCAAGGGGGAGGAGCAGGTGAAGGAGTGGGCAGGAACCACCCTGCGGACCATCCTGAAGACCACCAACACCCTCCTTCGCCCCTGCCCCTGCCCCTCCTTTGTCTCTCTTTCACACGGACACACACGCGCTCTCTCTCCCCCTGCCTCCCTCTTTGGCAGGCCTTTCCCCAGGGGTGGATGAGACATTCACAGGGCTGTGGGTGGAGGGCAGCTGAGCCCCAAGGCCAGGGGCCCAGTCTGTGTGGTCCTACCGTTTGTAGCAGGGGGAGCTCAGACACTGTGCCTGCAGCAGCTCACGGATCATCTGGCTGCTGGCCTTGACCGAGCCTCCGAAGTGGATCTGCACCTTCTCTATGTCCATCAGCATCTTGGAGTGCATGGTGCGCAGGCGCCCCACGCTCCGCTCCAGGTGTGCCAGGTCGCCCCGAGGGAAGGCTGCATTGCCCAGCTTTAGGCTGTGGGGCGTAGGTAGACAGAGGGGTAAGGTGGCCACACCAGCCTGAGCCCACATGCAGACCCCGGCCCACTCCACCCCTTTATCTGTGCCTTTTTAAACAGGACCGTGGGTGGGCAGGAGCCCTTCCCATAGCACCCTGAGGGACCACAGATGGGGCAGCGCAGAAGCGCCAAATGGGGAGAAGCCCTGAGCACCTAGCCTTGCCCACCTGGAACCCCGAGGGCTCCAAAGCGCAGTTTGAAACCATCCTTACTGCTGAACCCCCATCCTTGGGAGATGGAAGTGCAGAGGGGAGGGGGGCAGGAGCCTGACGGGGAGGGGAGGACCTTCTGAGTCACTGAGCCCACTCTCCGGCTGGCTGATGTCAGACCACCCCTTCCTCCCATGCTGGGGTTGCTGAGACTGCTGAAGCATCTGGGGGCTGTGAGGAGGTAAAGAGGAGCTCCCCCAGACAGCCAGCACCCTCGGCAATGTCCCACCAGGATCCCCAGCAGGGACTCAAAGGCAGGTGACTACTAAGTCTTCGTGCTACCTCTTCCTGGGAAACACTGGGCGTGGGGGGCTAGCCCAGAAATCACTCCCTGCCCCCCACTGCCCAGCCAGGAGGAGGAGCCCTCCACACTGGCCCTCCCCTGAAAAGCCCTGCACAGGACCCTGCTGCCCCGTACCTGCGGCTCTGCTGCCGGACCTGCTCCAGTTCAAAGATGGTGTAGGGGCGGATGGAACGGTGCCCAGGCAGGCCCGGGCCCACGGGCATCACAGGGATAATTCTGGGCGGGGACAGAGAGAAGAGGAGGGTGGGAGAGTGCGACATCGCATTCCCAAATCCAGCACTCCACAGTCCGCGTGCCTGAGGCGGCTTCCCGTCCAGGAAGGCCGGACGGAGGGCCAGCAGGCAGCCCGGGGGAGAGGCGACAAGGAAGGACACTGCTGGAGGCAGGTAGGGAATGGGGGAGATACAGCCCTGCTGCGCCCGCCCCCCTTGTGGCCACCAGCTGGGGCTGGCCAGGTGTGGGCACTCACTGTCCGGTCACAGGCGTCTCCAGGGGACGGTCACAGGAGAGGCAGTGGAAATGTGCCAAGAGCTGCCTGTGAGGAGTGGGACAGACAGGGTGAGCGCCCTGCCCAGGGGGTCTGCCCAGAGGTGGGAGAGGTGGAGAGCGCGGAAGGCCCTGGCCCTCGCGGGCCGGGCGGCTGGGAGCTCAGCTCACCAGGGTGGCGGGCCCCACGCTACCGGGGGCCGACCTGGGCTCTGGGCCCTGGGCCCTGGGAGCACCCTGGCCCCTGCGCCCCGGCTTCGGGGCACCCACCCGGCGCCTCCCTACTGCGGTCGCGTCCTGACCCCAAGCCAGCGGGGTGGCAAAGGGCCCCCGACGGGTGCCCTGCGTGAGCCTCGGGGGCCCCCTGGCGGCCAGTAGTGGAAATCCCGGGGTTCCCGCCCGCGGCGCCGCGGCCCCCCAGGAGCACAGCGACCCCGGGAGCACGGCCCTCCGCGCCCTGGGAGGGACCGGCCTGCGCTGGAGGAGCTGGCGAGCTCCCGGAGTCTGTCACTCCAGCTGGGGGACGGTCCAGGGGGCTCAGCCATCGCCCCGGGGCCCACCGGGCGCCAGGGTCCCCCAGGCCCCGCCGCAGGCCGAGCCCCACCTGCGCATGGCCGCCGCCTCGTCTGCCTGGTAGAGCGGGGAGCGCTCCTTGAGCTGCCGCCGCAGGGCCTGCCAGCGATCCTCCAGCGACCGCTTCACCGGGTCCAGCTCCAGGCGGTCCAGCTGCGGGGGCGGGGGCGGGGCCGCGACCGTGAGCCGGGGGTGGGGGTGGGGGGGTGGGGGTGGGGGTGGCGGGGGGCACCCAGGGAAGCGCCGCCGGCCGCCCCCACCTTGCTGTCCATCTCCGCCAGCAGCTTGTCCAGCATTTTCTGCCAGTCCTGCTCCTGCCCGCTCATCTTGGCCACCAGCTCCTGCATCATGTGGTTCAGCTGCTCCGTGGTGGCATCGAACTGGACGCGGCTCACTTTGGCCGCCAGGGCGCTCTTATCAGCTTTCTGCCCGGAAAGAGAGGAGGGGGACCCCCCAGATGGGAGGGAGCCGTGGAGGGACCCCCAGATGGGAGGGAGCCGTGGAGGGACCCCCAGATGGAGGGGGCTCCCAGATGGGAGGGAGCCATGGAGAGGGCTCCCCAGATGGCAGGGAGCCGTGGAGGGGGCCCCCCAGATGGGAGGGAGCCGTGGAGGGGGCTCCTCAGATGGGAGGGAGCAGTGGAGGGACCTCAGATGGGAAGGAGCCATGGAGGACCCCCAGATGGAGGGGGCCTCCAGATGGGAGGGAGCCATGGAGGGACCCCATTGCCCTGATATGTCAACCCCAGACACTGAGTTCCCCCATTGGCTCCCCTCCACTCCTGGCCTTCCAAAGAATGACCAGAGAGACCCCGTGGGACACAGGGTGGCTCTTCTGGGCCTGGCCCTTTACCAAATCAATCTCCATTTCCAGGTGCTCCCTGTTGGCCTTTTCTTTCTCGAGCTTCTCTAGACCGTGGTACAGCACCTGGGAGGCAGGGGGAGCAGAGGATGAGGAGCAGGGGAGGAGTAAAGGCCCCGGCCCTGCTGCTGCCGCCAGTGTGGGCCCCTCACGTCAATGTCCTTCTGCTTCTGCCGATGGTCTTCGATGAGGTTGCTGGTGGTGATGTTGAGCTTCTCGCAGTCGCCCTGCACCTGCAGGATGGCACTCTGGATGTGGCCCAGCAGCTCTTCGTCCTGTGGCAGAAAAGGCAGGCTCCCTGGAGCCACTGGGCCGCACTGCTGTCCTGATAAATCAGTCCTTAAAACATCACCTAGAGGCCCCTGGGGGTTCAGTAGGTGAAGCATCTGCCTTCGGCTCAGGTCATGACCCCAGGATCCTGGGATCAAGCCCCACATTGGGCTCCTTGCTCAGTGGAGCAAGAACCTGCTTCTCCCTCTCCCTCTGCCCCTGCTCATGTTCTCTCTCTCTCTCTCTCTCTCTCTTTTTCCCTTGCTCAAATAAATAAATAAAACCTTAAAAAAAATCACCCAACAGGTAAGCCAACTTTGGCCCCCATTCTGGCTCACCACAATTCCCCCTGACAGTGAGGAGGCTCTCTGCTCTATGTGTCCACCCAACGGGATGTGAACTTCAGTGTCCCACCTCCCCATGGTGTAGCTCTGAGGACCTGGCCCGCCAGTGGGGGTGACCAGAAGAGGCCATCGAGGCTCCACAATGGTGAGGGACCCTGTGGCTCCTGAGAGCTGGGATGTGGGCTATGGCATCCCCACCTGCCCTGGGCTGGATCTCAACTCGAGTCCAAGAGGCCGGACTCAGGGACTTGTGACTCTCCCTGCCCCAACCTCCCCCAGCAAGCCTGCCCTTTGGTGGGGAATCAAGAAGGGGGTTGGAAGGCTGGCGCGAAGGGGAGTCAATGAACCCTAAAGCTCTGCCTGTCCCCCCGCAAGGCCCATGGATGCACTGCTCCACCACTCAGCCAGGCATGACGTTCCACCTGCATGGAGCCAGCTCTTCCCCATAATCTCCTGTCCCCAGAGCTAGCTCTATTGCTGCCCCTGCTGTGACCCAGGGAAAGGACCAGGGACTTTTCCACCATGGAAAGCTCTATGAGCCACTCTCTGCTCTGTGGGCCTCTGGGCTGTGGCTCCCCACTGAGGGGCACATGTGGCCACACCAGGAGGGAGGCCAGTGGGAATCACCTGGCTCTGGAGCTTGGCTTTCTTGGAGGGCCGGGAGGCAGCCAGATTGTTGACCATGTCCTGGAGCTGCTCGTAGCGCTGCACCAGCGTGCTGACCTGATGGCTCAGGTCCAGGCTGCAGGCCGGGCAGGTGGCCTCAGGGTCAATCTGGCCAGGTACCAAGGTCGCCAAGGTCTTGGAAGGAGCCATGCTCATGGACAGCAGCGTGGAAGACGAGGCCAGCATGCTCTCGATGATCATCCTGAGCTTGTCCAGCTGGGTGCGGGCAAGAAGGCAGGGCAGGGCAGTGAGTGAGGCATGGCCACGTTCTGTCCACACTGTCAGTAATTCGGGGAGTTGCTGCATCCCTCAGCACCTCACAGAACGTGGGGCATGGAGGAGGTGCCCAGTGCCTGGCCGTTAAATAGTGAACAGTTTTCAGGGAGTAGAGCCTTGATGCTGAATAAAACCCTTGCAGGATGGAGGTTTCCAGACCTTTCTCCAGCTAGCTCACTGATTCAGCGCGAGGATATGTCTCTAGCTAACCCTAGAGTGGTGATGTCGGCTGGTCAGCTCACAGACAGAGGAGCCTGACGACACTCAGACACAGCTCCAGGCCCTGGGGATGGGAGGGGTGGGCTCACCCATGCGCTGTCCTCACCCAGCAGGTGAGTAACAGGAAGTCAGTGGGATGGGTGCTACTTCCGTTACTCTCACGCTCTCATGCTCTAGGTGATAATGGATGCCTTCCGTTGGCTCTCCTGCCCTCTTCTGTTTCCCACAGTGCTGAGGGGGTCACCACAAATGACTGGTCCCAGGGTCGGCACCCGGTTTAGGGGCAGCCAGTCCCACAGCCGTGTGACCTCTCGCGTGGCTCAGAGAGGGGCTGGGCCAACCGAAGCCCCTCTCTTGGAAGTGTGTGACGCGGCAGGGCCTGGGCAGCCACTGTGGGCCACGCGTGACAGGAAAGGAAAGCTGGCAAGGAGCGCGGCGGAAGGGAGACAAGGAGGTGCTGGAGAGAGGTGGGTAAGGACAGGGACACAGAGGGACAGGTGTGCGTGGAACCAGACACGGAAAGACAGACAAGGGGCGGCCCCGGCCAGACTGTGCCCTTGGCCTGGAAGTTCCCCTTTTCCAGCCCGCATTCCCCTACCTATGCACTTTCAACCAAGCTCCCTTTCGCTTGAGCTCAGTGAGACTCCAGCTTGCTCCCAGAAGAGCCCCTAGGAGCATGTCAGAGGGCCCTGGGATGAAAAGGATAGATTAGTTCTCTCTAGAAGAGAGGAAGTTGCCTCCACAGACTATGGGCGTTGCAGTGGAGTTGGGAAGAATACGTAGGAGCCCCTGGCAAGAGCGTCCCAGCAAGAGGAGCGGCACGGGAATGCAGCAGTGTGCTCAGACGTAGGAGGCAGAGGAGGCCGGAGGATTGGGAGTGTGGAGGCCGATGCTGCCTCCAAGAGGCTGTGGCAGGAGCCCAGGCCTGCCCAGTAGGGAGTGGCTTCCCCCTGAGTGTGGCCCCCGGGGCCGCCCTGGAGGTTGCTAAGCTTAGACACTGTTTTTGGAATGACAGGTGACTCTTGGACACATAATCTGCTGCCCTCAGCCCACACTGGACTCTTGGCTTTGGGGTCGGGGAATGGTACATGCCAGCGTGCTGGCAAACATGGGGGTGGCCCAGAATGGGGCTTCTGTCACTGAGGGGCTCCTGACCTGAGTCCCCTTGGCCCAGTGACTTTTTCTATCTGATCCTTCTGCAAGCACTCAGAGGGCTGTTTCTGGTCCAGACACTCTTCAAGGGGAACATAATGGGGGTGACCCAGGTCCGCGTCACTCAGGGTTTAAAGGCAGACACTATCAGGGGCGCCTGGGGGGCTCAGTTGGTAAAGTGTCTGACTCTTAATTTTGGATTTCAGGGTCCTGGGACTGAGCCCCACATCGGGCTCCCTGCTCAGCAGGGAGTCTGCTTCTCCCTCTCCCTCTGCTCCTCCCTCTGCCTGTGCTCTCTCGTATCAATCAATCAATCAGTCTTAAAGGCAGACACTATCAAGAGACTGGAAAGACAACCCACAGAATGGGAGAAAATATTTGCAAATTGTATGTCACTTAAGAGTCTAGGAGCCCCATCCTCCAGGGCGGACCCGGAGAAGAGCCCTGGTTCCCACGGCTGAAGAGAGAATCCTCACCTGGTCCTGCAGGTAGAGGGAGGCTTCGGACACCGAATGTTCCATGCTGACCTTGCCCCGCTCTTGGCTCTCCCTCAGCTCAGCCAGTTCCTTCTCAATGTCAGCCACGGTGACTCTGAGGGGTGTGCAGAAGAGAGCCTGGCCCCCACCCCTCTCCAGGGCCCAGGCCCACCTGCCCCAGCATGTACAGAGGATGACGCGCCTCCCGCGTCAGATCCTTGCCCCACCCCACGGCAGGCTCTGTCCGGGGAGTCCCAGGTGCTGATTGTTCAGGAAGTGAGTGCCCACGTGCTAGACTGAGAGGTTTCTACAGGGTGAGCCCCACAAAGAGAGGGCTCTGAGGGGCTCTGGCAGGTGGTCTCCTCCAGCCTCCAACCAGGGACAGAGACTAGGAGCTTCTTTCCTTCCAAGCCCTGGTGCTGAGCTGTTTTAAGAACCTAGAAAAACTACCAGTGGGGCACCTGGGTGGCTCAGTGGTTAAGCATCTGCCTTTGGCTCAGGGTGTGATCCCGGAGTCCTGCATCAGGCTCCCTGCATGGAGCCGTCTTCTCCCTCTGCCTATGTCTCTGCCTCTGTCTGTGTGTCTCTCATGAATAAATAAAATCTTCAAAACAAACAAACAAAAACTTCTACCAGCAAACTACATATGGACACCCTGAAAGACATATCAGAGACGGGAGCAGTTCAGGCTGTGAGTGAACCGACGGCCTGCTGTCACCTCCTTGGCTAGAAGTATGCGACGCCTGGACATGAGCTGCCCTTGGCAGGGACATTTTACCTGAGGATTCCCAGCTGCAAGCTCAGCTGGCCATCCTTCATCTCTTTTCCTATTTCTTGCTCCCCATCGCCCTCCAGGATCCTCTGCATCCTGTCCAGCTATAAACCCCAAAGGAAGAGGAAGGTCAGGTAGGTTTGAGTTCTTTGCCTTCTGCACATGTGCCCCCTTCTCAAATCCTAGTCCTAATCCAACCCTTTGTCCGTATGTCCCTTCTGGACATCCATCTAGCCCGTGGGTGTGGCCAGCTGGCATCGGGAAAACAACTGAAGATCCAGGGGCCCCTTGCCATGACCCCTGGCCCCAGAGAGGCCCACACACTCAGCTCCAAGGCTGCTGCAGCACCAGTGGGCTCTGTTGGAAATGGCCACATGGAATGAAAGGGGCACTGGCCTCCTTGTTGGCTAGATCTTGACAGCTTTGAGCATCAGGCTTTAGATCCAGGAAAGGAACATGATGATACCTGAGGAGCATTTCCTACCTCACAGGTTGGTAAAGACCCAAGGAGATGCATTAATATAGGTGCGAGGACCATGGGAGCCATCGAGATACAAATGGAGAGTAGGATTACTGGCATTGGAGGCAAAGTGAGTGGACCCTCCCTTACTTACTTTTGTTTTTTCCTGTCGAACTTCTTTGGTTAAGGACTTGAGAGTCTTCAGCTGTTCCTGCAGGTCAGGGGGTATGCTCTTTTTGACTGAAAAATGAAGGCTGTTAATCAAAAGGATCAGATCTCCAGCGGGCCCCCAATCCCCACTCCTGGCCCCCACAGTGAAGCTACTCCAGTGAGCGGCAGGACCCGCTCCAGCTCTTCCTGGTGACCGAAGAGAGGGAACAGGAAGAAAGGAAAGAAGAGTGTCCTTACTCTATAAAAAAAAAAAATCCACTGAATGCTTACTATCCAAAAGGGCTTTGAGATTGCTGACCCATCCACCCGCTTTCCACCCGTCTCTCAGATCTTAGTTATTCTCTGGGCCCGTGGACAATGGTGAAGTCGAGTTCTTTGGCCTCTCCGCTCCCTCCCTCCCCACCCAGCCCCAGTGCTGCTGCTGCCCCGGGCCCACTGTCCTCAACTGGGCTCAGCTGCGGTCAGACAGGGCCCCAGAACTGCCTCCCTCCTCTCCTGAGGCAACTTCGCTCCACCTGGTTTTGCTCCATCTTTGGGACCCCAGAGGCTATAGTGGAGCCCAGAATGGCTAAGAAGGGACATGCTATTTGCAGTGACTCAGGAAGAAGCTCGGCCACCAGATGAGGATGATTAATACCCAGACAGTGGTCCCTCCTGTGCACGAGTGGAACCCACCCATGAGCGCCAGCAGGTACTGTATCTTCTCCAAATCCGTCTGGCCAGCCTGTTCCTCATTTAGCTCTTTCATGTTCTCCTTGAGCTCCACATAGAGGCCAATGATCTCTCCCATCAGACGAAATGTCTCCACCGCCATGGGGAAGCTAGGAGCCAGTTTATCCAGTGAATCGTGTCTTTCGCTCTGGAAATCACTCTTTTCTGATGAGACGCGGTAGAGGTTGTTCAGATAGTCCGTACTCCTGGCAGAGGTGGCTTCCTGGCCTGGACTAGTCTGGACAGAAATCCCAGGTTGGTCCACAGTATATATTTGTTTTGGATCCAAACTGACCTGGACGTGCTGATCTACCCCTGGGACGCCTGAGTCACGAAGGCCAGGAGGATACATTAGGTCATGGGATTCTGGGATGGAGTATGCATGGTCATGCTGCTCTGTACCTGGTTGTACCTGGCCATGCTGATCTGGGCCAAGTGATGTCAAATGCTCTTGATCTAGGTGTACAGATCCTGCACGAGTGCTTAATGGTGTTGGGCCATGCTGGTCTGCGCCAGGATGCATCAAACCTTGCTGGTAAGTTTCTGATAAACCTTGGCCAATACCTGCTGATACTAAACCTTGCTCGGCTAGGAGAGGTGACACCTGACCATATTGATATCTGCCAGGAGGTATTACACCATGCTGATATGGATGTGGTGATACAAATCTTGGAAACTCTGGGTGGACTGTTGGAGAGCCATGAAGCTCTGTGCCTGGTGGTATCAAGTCTTGTTGTTCTGTACCAGATCGCCTCAAGCCACGCTGATCAATTCCAGGCTGAACCAAACTACGCTGATCAACACTAGGCTGCATAAAACCATGTGGATATGTACCAGGTTGGGCCAAACCACGAGGATAGGCACCAGGTGGAACCAAACCACGTGGATAGGCACCAGGCTGTACCAAACCAGGCAGGTATGCACCTGGCTGTACCAAACTGGGTGGATATGCACTGGGTTGAACCAAGCCAGGAGGATATGTGCCAGGTTGAAAAAAGCCACGTGGATCTGTGCCAGCCTGTACTAAACCATGCTGATCTACTCCACGTTGCACCAAACCAGGCTGACCTACACCAGGCTGAACCAAACCAGGCTGACCTGTGCCAGGTTGTACCAACCCACGCTGATCCAGTCCAGGTTGGACCAAACCAGGCTGACCTGCACCAGGTTGCACCAAACCAGGCCGAGCTACACCATGTTGGACCAAACCATGTTGATCCATTTCGGGTTGGATCAAACCAGGCTGACCTGGACGAAGTTGCACCAAACCACGCTGATCCATTCCAGGTCTGACTAAAGCAGGCTGGCCTGCTCCAGGTTGGACCAAACCACGCTGATCCATACCAGGTCTGACCAAAGCAGGCTGACCTGCACCAGGCTGCACCAAACCACGCTGATCCATTCCAGGTCTGACTAAAGCAGGCTGGCCTGCTCCAGGTTGGACCAAACCACGCTGATCCATACCAGGTCTGACCAAAGCAGGCTGACCTGCACCAGGCTGCACCAAACCACGCTGATCCATTCTAGGCTGGACCAAACCAGGCCGACCTGCACCAGGCTGCACCAAGCCACGCTGATCCATTGCAGGTTGGACCAAACCAGGCTGACCTGCACCAGGTTGCACCAAACCAGGCTGAGCTACACCATGTTGGACCAAACCAGGCTGACCTGCACCAGGCTGCGCCAAACCATGCTGGTCTGTTCCAGGCTGCACCAAACCAGGCTGACCTGCACCAGGCTGCACCAAACCACGCTGATCCATTACAGGTTGGACCAAACCAGGCTGACTGGCATCAGGTTGCACCAAAACACGCTGATCCATTGCAGGTTGGACCAAACCAGGCTGACCTGCACCACGTTGTACCAAACCAGGCTGACCTGCACCATGTTGGACCAAACCAGGCTGAGCTGTACCAGGCTGCACCAAGCCATGCTGATCCATTTCAGGCTGACCTGCACCAGGCTGAACTGCACCAGGCTGCACCAAACCACGCTGATCTGTTCCAGGCTGCACCAAACCAGGCTGACCTATACCAGGTTGCACCAAACCACGCTGGTCCATTGCAGGTTGGACCAAACCAGGTCGACCTGCACTGGGCTGCACCAAGCCACGCTGATCCATTGCAGGTTGGACCAAACCAGACTGACCTGCACCACGTTGCACCAAACCAGGCTGACCTGCACCATGTTGGACCAAACCAGGCTGACCTGCACCATGTTGGACCAAACCAGGCTGAGCTGTACCAGGCTGCACCAAGCCACGCTGATCCATTCCAGGCTGACCTGCACCAGGCTGCACCAAACCACGCTGGTCTGTTCCAGGCTGCACCAAACCACGCTGGTCTGTTCCAGGCTGCACCAAACCAGGCTGACCTGCACCAGGTTGCACCAAACCAGGCTGATCCATTGCAGGTTGGACCAAACCAGGCTGACTGGCATCAGGTTGCACCAAACCATGCTGATCCATTCCAGGTTGGACCAAACCAGGCTGACCTGCACCAGGTTGCACCAAACCACACTGGTCCATTGCAGGTTGGACCAAACCACGCTGACCTGTACCAGGTTGCACCAAACCATGCTGATCCATTCCAGGTTGGACCAAACCAGGCTGACCTGCACCAGGTTGCACCAAACCACGCTGGTCCATTCCAGGTTGCACCAAACCAGGCCGACCTGCACCAGGTTGCACCAAACTACGCTGATCCATTTCAGGTTGGACCAAACCACGCTGATCCATTGCAGGTTGGACCAAACCAGGCTGAGCTGTACCAGGTTGCACCAAACCACGCTGATCCATTGCAGGTTGCACCAAACTACGCTGATCCATTTCAGGTTGGACCAAACCACGCTGATCCATTGCAGGTTGGACCAAACCAGGCTGAGCTGTACCAGGTTGCACCAAACCATGATGATCCATTCCAGGTTGCACCAAACCACGCTGATCCATTCCAGGTTGCACCAAACCACGCTGATCCATTCCAGGTTGCACCAAACCATGCTGATCCATTCCAGGTTGCACCAAACCACGCTGATCCATTCCAGGTTGCACCAAACCATGCTGACCTGCACCAAGTTGGACCAAACCATGCTGACCTGCACCAGGTTGCATCGAACCATGCTGATCCAAACCACGCTGAGCTATACCAGGTTGCACTAAACCATACTGATCCATTGCAGGTTGGACCAAACCAGGATGGCCACCAGGTTGGATAAAACTAGGCTGACCTGTACCAGGTTGGACTAAACTGTACTGGTCCATTCCAGGCTGGATCAAACCAGGCTGACCTGCACCAGGCTGCACCAAACCACGCTGATCCATTCCAAGTTGGACCAAACCATGTTGATCCATTTCCAGCTGCCTCAAAACATTCTGACCCATTGTAAGTTGGGCTAAATCTTGCTGACCCATTTCAGATGGCATCAAACTAGGCTGAACTGCACTAGGCTGGACCAAACCAAATGGATATACATCAGGCTGTACTAAGCCAAATGGATATGCAACAGGCTGTCCCCAGCCACTGGGATATGGACCAGGTTGTACCCAATCAGGTAGATAAGCACCAGGCTGGACCAAACCACTTTGATCTACAATAGGCTGCACCAAACCAGGCTGACTTACACTAGGCCGACCTGCAATAGGCTGCACCAAACCAGGCTGACTTACACTAGGCCAACCTGCAATAGGAGGCACTAAACCAGGCTGACTTACACTAGGCCAACCTGCCATAGGCAGCACCAAACCAGGCTGACTTCTGCTAGGCCGACCTGCAACAGGTGGCACCAAACCAGGCTGACTTGTACTAGGCTGACCTGCAACAGGTGGCACCAAACCAGGCTGACTTGTACTAGGCCGACCTGCAATAGGCGGCACCAAACCAGGCTGACTTGTGCTAGGCTGACCTGCAACAGGTGGCACCAAACCAGGCTGACTTGTACTAGGCTGACCTGCAACAGGTGGCACCAAACCAGGCTGACTTGTGCTAGGCCAACCTGCAATAGGTGGCACCAAACCAGGCTGACTTGTACTAGGCCGACCTGCAATAGGCGGCACCAAACCAGGCTGACTTGTACTAGGCCGACCTGCAATAGGCAGCACCAAACCAGGCTGACTTGTACTAGGCCAACCTGCAACAGGTGGCACCAAACCAGGCTGACTTGTACTAGGCCGACCTGCAATAGGCGGCACCAAACCAGGCTGACTTGCTTCAGGCTGCACCAAATCACGTTGATCTGCACCAGGCTGCACCAAACCACGCTGACCTGTACCAGGTCGGGCCAAAGCAGTCTGATCTGTACCAGTTGGTACCAGACCACGTGGATCTGCCCCAGGCTGGATTACATCATGCTGCTCTGTACCAGGTTGAATGAACCCAGATGTTTCCAAACCGGACTGTACAAAACCTTGCTGATCTGCAGCAACTCGCATCAAACCAGGTGATACCAAACCACGTTGATCTGTAAGATATGGAACCAATCCACGTTGATCCATTCCTTGTTGATCCGTGGCAGATACTAAAAATCCATGCTGATCTATGCTAAAGGGTACCAACCCATGCTGATCCACACCAGACTGTTGGTCTGCGCCAGGAGGTATTGCACCATGCTGATATGTGCTAAGTGGAACCATACCAGGCTGACCTGTACTAGGTAGTTCCAATCTTTGCTGATCTGTGCCAGGTGCCAATGGTGGCACCATACCACGCTGCTGATCCATGCCAGGTAGTACCAAGCCCTGCTCATCCATTCCAGGTGGCATCACACCAAGCTGACCCATGCTGTGGGGTACCACACCATGTGGGTAAGTGCTAGGTTGGAGCAATGGAAGCTGATCCATGCCAAGTGGTCCTAATCCATGCTGATCTGGCCTTGAATAGATGTGACCCTGGGTTACAGACACCCCCCCATGCTGATCTGGGTATACAGGATGATGCCAGTCTCTGGCCACAGAAGCTGAGGATAAGTCCTGTTGAACTGGACCAGGGTGTGCCTCTCGTTCATCTTTTCTTAGGTGTGCTAAGCTGTGCAGCTGAGGCTCTCTCATCCTACGACGATCTGACTCTTTTCTGAATTGGGACATAGACGGGTGATGGGGCTTTGCCAGGCCAGCTTCATCACGGGCCCTTGAATATTCTCTACCAGGGAATGTAGTAGCAGAGGCACCTCTGCTTCGTTCCCTAGTAACCCCCTCAGAGGGGTAACCTGTACCACTGATTCCTGATAAGGCCCGATCTGAGCCATAGCCACTGGCAGTATCCAAAGCCCGGTCAGCACTTGAGTGCTTGATGGAGACTCCACTTTGAATTCCATCATTTGATGTTATGGAAGTGTGTGCTCTGCGTTTAGGAAGGCCTGTTGTTGTCTCTGAGCCCTGGTTGAAGAGGAAGAATGAAGTCAGTAACTACAAGTAGAAAGGACTCAGCATAAGGCATGAAGGGAAGAAAATCTGGGACATCTGACTAGGATGACTTAGGGCTTTTGGAGAGAAACACCCTCTGGTCCCCAAAACTAAGCTGGGCACAAAGGCTTTGACATCCTTGAAGGATAGATCTCCAAGGCTTTGAGAATCTGCACATTTGCAAATGGCATAATAATATGTTATTTCTGGGCGCCCCGATGGCCCAGCGGTTTGGCACCACCTTCAGCCTGGGGTATGATCCTGGAGACCCAGGATAGATCCCACGTCAGGCTCCCTGTGTGGAGCCTGCTTCTCCCTCTGCCTGTGTCTCTGCCTCTCTCTCTCTCTCTCTCTCTCTCTCTCATGAATAAATAAAATAAAATAAAATAAAATAAAATAAAATAAAATAAAATAAAATGTTATTTCTCCTCGTAAAAGGCAGTGGAAACACTATACAAGTGATCTACTCCAACTGTTGCTGGGTCTACACATAAAGGACATGAGTAATTTATTAAGTTTAAAATATAAAGTCTGCCCTATCATCGGCCCACTGCTGATGGTAAAAGTATCACTGCAGGGCAAGTAAACCATATATCCAAAATGTAAATGCACAAACTCTTGGATCCAGGAATTCTATAGATAAGATTTTCCCTATGGATTTTTACAAAGGACTGCCAGGATATATGTACAGAGTCTGCAATTCTGTTTATGAAAATAGGTTATCAATAGGGGACTGATATATATAGGGGGCATGCCCATATAGAATACCAAGGATCTGTTAAAAAAAGATTATAGACCATTTCCATTTCCAGCCCAAATGGAAGAACAGGGATGGGATTTACCCTCCTGTTTGAAACCAAAGCCCAAGAACCAAAAGCAACAATAGCTATGAAATGGTGGTTTTCTAAACACTGGATATCAGCTAATGAAAGCTCACAACCCCTGAAAGATGGAGAGACAAACTAGGTGAGCCCTGTGGTCGTCTCAGCTTACTGTCTCAATAGAGTTTCCACGCTGCAGTGCCCCTGGAAAGGGTCTGAGTTGAGGGGACAAACACGAGCATGCAGGGAGACTGAAGCAACTAGAGGTAGATCATAGGACAGAGTATCAGAAAGAAAGGAGTTGCACAGGGGTGCCTGGTGGCTCAGTTGGCTGAGCATCTGACTCTTGATTTTGGCTCAGGCCATGATCTCAGGGTCCTGGGATTGAGCCCCATGTCAGGATCCGCGCTCAGGGGAGGGGAGGAGTCAGCTTGAGGATTCTCTCTCCCTCTCCCTCTGCCCCTTCCCTGACTCATGTTCTCTTTCTCTCTCTCAAATAGATAAATAAATCATAAAAAAAGAAAAACCATGGAGATATACATAGAGAGGACTCAGGAGATCTGTAGAGGGTCCTCTTTGGGTAGTCAGCACAGAAATGATCAGCATGTATATGTGAGGAAACTACCCAAGGGTGGGAAAAGAGCCATCTGCAAGGCTGGAGGGAACAGTGCCCAGACTCTCATGGGGCTGGGAACAGTGCCTGTTTCTATCAGCCAGTTTGGAAAAAACTCAATTCAGGGGAGAGTACTCAGAAAAGTGTTGCCTCAAAAGTGGAGAATAATCAGCTCTACACTGAACATTGCTATGGACCCACTAAAAAAATAACCAAACAAAATATACCATAAAAGAAACAACAAGTGAATTAAAATGGTACACTAGAATACACTTACTTAATACAAAAGAGACGAAGTTGAGGAATGGAGGAACAGATAAGACAGAAGACATAGAAGATAACAAATGGAAGATATAAACCTACTTTATCAGTAATTAAACACTCCAATCAGAAGATGGGGATTTGCAGAATGGATTTAGAAACATGATCCAGGGGGCCCAAACTCACTGTGTGCAACCCTTTCTTTTGAGGCCTGGAGGCACATGAGACCCTCTCCATGGACTGGCAGCCATGGTCAGGGAGGACACGGTAGCAAGCACCAGCATGTGTGTCCCGGTGGCAGGAATGGGGCTGGCCCAGCACATATTCACCTTGAAGAGAAATATGAGGCAGAAGCCCAAGATCATTGAGATGCCTGTATCCAAGCCCTGCATCTCTGGATGTTGCTTACTGTCTATGCTGTTGTTCTAGGACAAATTTAAGAACAGAAGAACTTGGAGTGCCTTTAAGGACAGTTGAATAACCAAGAAGTGACTAATCAAGAATCTGATGTACGTGTGAAAATGAGGTCAGAATTTCAAAAAAAGTTCAGTTTACATCAAACTCTATAAGAGAAGAAATTATCTGCAGTCTTATCCAAGAAGGACCTGCCACCTTTCAGATAGTCATAGACTTCAACACGACACTAAGTAGATTTTCCTACAAAGGGAAAAGATGCCCAACATGTCATAATATTGACAATTATAAGCTGGTTACAGATCGAGGTCAGAGTTACTGTATCCAAGTAAAGGAAAAAGACTATGCCATTAAAATTGATCCTTTTCCTACAATAGAAGAGAAGTACCCTTTTTATAAAAAAAAAAAAATTATTCATGAGAGACAGAGAGAGAAAGAGAGGCAGAGACACAGGCAGAGGGAGAAGCAGGCTCAATGCAGGGAGCCCCATGTGACTCGATCCTGGGATTCCAGGATCAGGCCCTGGGCTAAAGGCGGCGCTAAACCGCTGAGCCACCCAGGCTGCCTGAGAAGTACCCTTGTATGGTTGAAAGGTACCCTAAATCACAAGGTTTGCTTGTTGAACAAGCTCTACCAGAAGCTAAACTGAAAGAAACTGTGGCAGAATCTGATGTATGTTCAGGGAAGGATACGAGAATGTTGTCGGTAAGCTCTAACAACACAGTCTCCCCAGGTTCACATTTTCAGCTGGTATCCATGATGTACTAGAGGAAGTATCCCTCAAGCTAGAGTTGATCATCCAAACGTCAGAGTCATGACCAACTTCGTGGATTTTGATGAAAAAGGAGTGTTCAAAGGACTTAAAGGAGGACTAATTCATGAATTTAACAGATATGGTGGGGCTCTGAGCAACAGAGAACATCTCAATCAACTATAAGATGGTAACAACACAATTCTGCTGGGAGACTCCTAAGGAGGCTTGAGAATGGCAGATGGACTAGCCAACGTTGAACACATTCTGGAAACTGGATACCAAATGATAGTGTAAAGGAGCTTTTACAAAAAAAGTACATGGACTCTTATGATATTATTTTAGTAAAAGATGAATCATTGGAGGTAGCCAACACTGTCTTACAGAAGATTCTCTAGATAAGCATTCTTTAAGACCTCTTCCCTGTGGATACAATTGATGCAAGAACTGCTTGTCCATTTGTCTTGCTAAAAAACTCTTATTTGTAATATATTCTTGCCCTTGAAGTTTTCCTCTGCATTACTGAAGTAACTTCAAACACAAAAAAGGACCTGTAAGGTCCTTTTTCTCCACTTCTCTCAATACATTCCTCACCATATTTTTTAACAGATTTTTAAAAATTTAAAAAAGCCTCAAAACAAACCTTAAAGTCAAAATATTAAAAATAACTCCTCTAAATTTTCCAAAATGAATTTTGTAGTTTATGTTTTTAGGGCCTTTTTAATACTGGTAAAGTTTGTAGAAGTTAAGAAGTTTTATGAAATGGTGAAATGATGTGCGTGATTTTAAGTTTTGTTCCTTTTATAATTTGGGTGAATTATGCTGATGGCATAATCATCTCCCGATATTGTATTATGTGTGATATTTTGTTTTAGGAACATTAATATTTACCAGAAAACATTAGCACTTGGTGTTTAAAAAAAAACTGTTGGTATCCACGTTACTAATCATTACAAAATGTCCTATAGAGAAGCACAGATAATAAACATGAAATGAAAAGCAAAACCAAAAAACAAAACCCACACATGATCCAACTATATGCTGTCTATAAGAGATCTATGTTAGAGTCAAAGAAAGAAACAGGTAAAAAGTAAAAGGATAGAAAAAAATAAATGCAAATAATCAAAAGAGAGCTGGGGGCACTGCCTGGCTGGCTCAGTTGATGGAGCATGGGACTCTCAATTTCAGGACTGTGAGTTCAACCTACCTCCAATGTAGAGATAGAAGAAGAAGAAGAAGAAGAAGAAGAAGAAGAAGAAGAAGAAGAAGAAGGAGGAGGAGGAGGAGGAGGAGGAGGAGGAGGAGGAGGAGGAGGAGGAGGAGGAGGAGGAAGGAGGAAGGAGGAAGGAGGAAGGAGGAAGGAGGAAGAAGGAAGAAGAAGAAAGAAGGAGAAGGAGAAGAAGAAGAAGAAGGGGGGAGGAGGAGGAGGAGAAGAAGAGTTTGAGTGGCTGTACTAATATAAGACAACATTGTTAATAGAGACAAAGAAAGACATTTTACACTGATAAAAGAGTCAATTTATTTAAAAGACGTAATAGTTAAAAAAAAAATGAACCCAACCATAGTGCCCTAACAAACATAAAGAAAACCTGACAGAATTAAAGGAAGAAACAGACAAGTCAACAATAATAGTTGCAGACTTTAATATCTCTTTTTTAAAAATTTTTATTTATTTATGATAGTCACAGAGAGAGAGAGAGGCGCAGAGACATAGGCAGAGGGAGAAGCAGGCTCCATGCACTGGGAGCCTGATGTGGGATTTGATCCCGGGTCTCCAGGATCGCGCCCTGGGCCAAAGGCAGGCGCCAAACCGCTGCGCCACCCAGGGATCCCAATATCTCACTTTTGATAGGGATAGAATACAAATAGGCAGAAGATCAACTAGAAAATAAAAGACTTGAACCATGGACCAACTGGACCAGCAAACATCTGTAGAACACTCCACCCAAGAAGATCTGAATAAACACTCTTCCTGCATGCACACAGAACATTTTCCACAACAAACCATATGTTGGGCCACTAGAAAACAAAATGAAATACAAAACACAGGAAAAATAAAGATGTTTTCAAACAACTAAATACAAGCTGAAATTCATGAACAGCAAGACTCACT